AAAAAAAAAAAAAAAAAAAAAGAGAGAGAGAGAGAGAGATGAGGAGAAAGAGAAAGAGGAAAGCGACCGGTTGCAGTTTGAGGACGAAGTGAAACTGACAATGGTCAACCGCCCCGCTTCAGCAATTGAGAGAGAACGAACGAAATGAGAAGAATCAGATTAAAGGAATTAAAGTAAGAGAAGAAGCAAAAGAAAAAGAGTGAAGAGAAAGAAGGGAAGGAAGAAAAAAAAGATGCCTTGGAGAAAGGCTGTGATGCTTGAGGTTGGTTTAGTTGTGATTATTACTGGTCGATCGCAGTTAGCGCCTTTAGCATATACAAGAATAACAACAGCTACGAGAGAAAAGAGAGAGAAAGGAGTCAGATTAATTAACAGCGCTGAATCCGTCGCGAATCAAAGCCCAGTGAAATTGACTAGTTTCAGTCTGGCCAGCGAGTGGATCAGGGGAGAGGGAGGCAAAAAAAATAAAGACAGCATTTAACTCAGTTCCCTGGGATTCGGGGAATGAATGCTATTGTTATGCTGAGTACGTATTAGTATTGCCGTTCAGAGGAACCAAAGGATTAATTGGATTGGAATGTAACCACGAGAACCATGTTTTCCTATCTGGAGTATAGAATAATTTGTGCAGAAGATGGAACTGGAATGCTGGTTCCTGCTCTGATATGTACACTCCCGCAGGGCATCATCCGCCGATAATTGATCGACGAGATCTGGACTTTCTCCTTTCCTATTGGTGATGACTATTCAGGGTTTTTGAGCCATTATCTTTGCAGCATTCCAGGAAAACTTCTTGCTCGTACTCCTACTACTGTACTCTGAACTTGTGCTGTTTTTAAGAAGAGCTTCTGTAACGGTAGTATACAGCTTGCCGCAAATGGTTAGTATCGATCCAATCACACAATCCAGGTCGTATTACGCGGCTCTCTCGTCTCTATCTACTCCGCGGCCGTTCCTCGATAAGACTCAATTGACAAGCATCGCCTAGAAATTTGCTAATCCATCGTCTACGAACTGGTCCGGTGTCAATGCTGAAGCTCAGACCACTCTCAAAAAGTACAAAGAAAACTGAAACAACACATCAGCAAGGTCTGTCTAGCAAGGCATAAATAGGAACCAATTCGTTTCATGACAACATGTAGGTAGGATTATGGGTCATGTCACGGGTGGTTATATATATATATGTCAAAATGTTTCACCCATGATAAATTGAACAACAATAATATATACCCCACTGGTTTGGGTATAAACTGAATCAGATAGTACACCAATGCTTTAATGCGACGTACGAAGGATTCCACGCTTGAATCAAGCTCTCAGTGTCGTTACTGTCAGCTCGCAACGCACCAGATTGGAGATGCGGGGACAAAGAACTGCAACAGTATCTCTACCTCTACGTTGCAAAATACATTATTTAGAGCCAGGACCACTTGGGCAACCCCAAAATTTATCGGTGTTACTCGTCCCGTTGCTTCTCCGGCGGTGTACCAGGTTTTTGCTAGACTCAGCCAAGATTGTCTGTCATACTCTTCCTTTGCTTTGTCGCTGCACAGCCTCTGCAACGTCTCTTTGATCCTGCTAGAAATAGCATCCCTTCTTTGCAGGGGTGGCAACCAGGGGCAGAAAACATTGTTTGACAAGCTTGTTGTTGCTAACAGGCCAGCTTCTATTGTTCTTCTGTAGCAGCTACCGGCCGGGCCTGCATTCAACTCGCATGGTTGTGGTACAAACAGGTCTCGTGTGGAAATGATGGACGGACATGGCTTTATTCGACCGAAAGAGGGAATAGGATAGAGGGATAATTTCGACACTGATTCTCTGGATATCACTGGCTAGTAATCAATAAATGTCGACAGCCGCTGTTCTCTTTTACCCTGGTATTGTCTCAAGCAGTAATCAGTAATATGGCTAGAGTGTTCTGCATTACGGCTGCATGCACTCTCTGTATGGCGGCTTCTGACAGGACCCTCATTTCAAGTTGTCTCCTGTCATACATAGACTTTGCGTGGACACAACTCTTCACATAATATAACTATTCGAATCAAATTTTTATCACCGTTGCTATCTAGATTGATATCGTTGCCCGAATCGATTCTCCAATGTAATGGACCGTACCGTCCTGACGAGTATTTTATGGTGTAGTTCATCCCGGCACACAACATCATCAACTTTTTTTTATATGTCTCCAAAAAAACGGAATAAAATAGAATAAAAAATAATAATCATGTGGAAAAACATCTGTACCCTGGTCTAACTCTGCATTCATTCATGACTGCGCGAGGGGATACCACTGTGGATGGCACGCGTTTCCGGGCTTGCTGCCGCTCCACCTTCTCTCTTCTCTGGCTTTCTCTCTTTGTCCGCCTCTGTCAAAGCAGTTTCTTCCTTCGTCATAACTTGCTTCATAACCCCAGTCCAATTGACAGACATTTTAGTTCCTATTTGTCTGTTTGCATCATTGTCATCATTTCTCCAATTGGTCCTTTTATATTTCGATTTTCGGTCATTGACTGTCATTCTCCATCCCTTCCTATCTCTCGTTTGCTGGGATCTCCCTTCTCCAACCTCATATCTTCTCCCTTTCTGGCTGCCTGGGATTCTATGAGTACACTTACATACCTTCCCTCGTGGGTAAATTGATCGTCTATTGTGTATTGAATCCAAGCAATGATCCCCAACCAGCCTCCCAGCTCCGACAAGACCATCCGGAAAATTGACATTGCACAGGTGAGTACCTATCCCAACCAGTGAGAAGATGGGATTTCTTCGCTTGAAATGGCAAAATTTACGTTTTAACTATACCTGGAATTCGAAATTCATTTTTCACTTTCTTTTTCCTTTGCTGACCAAGTGGCTTCAATCCAGGTCTCTCTCAGTCTTCAAGATCGGTTAGGCCTCGCCAAAGTCAAATACCAAAACGGCCGTCTACATAAACTAGACGCTTCTCGGAATGAGAATCGGAAAGCACTCTTTCTGGACAGTGATAACAAACCCTCCGACTCCTCGTCCAGCCTCTCCCGCAGCCGTTGCGAAACGCCCTTGACATCGCCCCCTTTACATACTTCGACATACTCGAAAGAGCTGCCTCGATCCTCTCGGAATAAGCATGCGGCCACATTCAATTCTCACCTGATGCAGCCCATGTTGTCGGCCAGTCGAAAACGGATAAGGTCGGATCTGAGTCCTGAGCGTACGGCTAAAGCTCCACGGGTTTCTTGGAAGAGTACATATCAGCTACCAGAATCTTCTCCGGGCTTCAGTCGACGTCCTCGGAATGCAATCAATCACCCACCTCTCCTGTCCGAAAGTGCAACCATTCCGGAGCTCTCGTCGCCTGCCCCGTATCATGCTCATTCGGACGATGACAATGATCCAGACCTTCCTGTCCACAGTTTCCAGCATGTCAGCTCCATGGTGAGCTCGTCCCCCCCTCGTACTCCTCCGCCCAGACATTCTCGCCAATCCCGAACAGAGCGAGAATTGCAGAACGAGAATGGTGCGGACCTGCTTCTCTTCTTAGCCAATTCACCTACTCCGGCCAGGACGGCAGTGAAGACACAACCGCGGGATTTTCCACCCTCCACTCCACCCAGCCAGCATGCTGTATTGCCTGGGCTGACACCCACACCCGGTGGTGGAGGACTCTTTGGTAATATCGGGACTCCCAACCAACAATTCAATTTTGCCGATTTTGTCAATGTGACTCCGAGTCCCGCACAGCCCCCATGGGGCGGTCGTACTCCCGGGGGTCCTACACGAACGCCTCTTGCAGCCAGAGATGCTAGAAAACGGCTCAACTTTGACAATCTTGTACCACCAAGTGCTGAGAGCCCCAAGAACCGTGAGAAGGGGTCGGACGCGCCCTTACAACTGGGTGGAGAATTACGACCTTAGGCGTCGTGACCACTCTTTGCCATTTTTTCTCTGTCTATTTTCCTCATTACGACTGTTAATGATCTGATCACCCTACATGTACAAATTGGTGGATGCCCTCATCCCGACCACCAGTCTTGCCTGTCGGCAGCGCTTTTCATTGTTGCTCCCACCTTGGGAAGCCCTTCAGGCTTGTGATGCCTTGCCAATTCAATCTCGAATTAATCTGCATACATCGACTGCCTACCATACCCTTTTCCTATGTTTTTATTCTTGCATATCATTTCCTTTGTGTGGCACGTGATGAAAACCAGTACCCTTTTGTTGTCTATCTTATTATTTGTTGGATTTGATGTCGAATTTTTGATTTATTGTCAGCCACCTCATTTATACCGAGGGGCATGATCTCACATTTTATGACCCATGCATGTCAGAGACCGGCGACGTATCGTCTTCTGTTCAATTCGGAATTTACATTTGATTGTTTTCTATAGCTTTTATTGTAGTCCTTATGCTGCATGTGAAATAGCAATAAGAGACTACACAGATTACTCATTAATACAGTAATTTTTCATGCCTGCAAGCCCCTCTCTACCTCCACCTGCCCCCGAAATCAAAACAGCCATTGCTCAAGAAAAAGTTTTTTCCCCCACGCGTATCACGCGTCATATGATGTCACATATGCCAATTTCGCGTTTCCATAACTTCTTAAAGAGGACTAGTCTCACCTCGGAGTTTTAGCTATTTGGCTTAGGCTTTGGTGCCTTTCCTGATTCGGAATAAATCTAGATCTTGTGTGGGGAAAGCACGTGATACAAATCAACATTATATTATATAGTTAGTCCTAGTATTTTCTTTTCATGAATTGTTTATACATATCGGCAGAAATATGAACGAAACAGCTACTACACCTCCATCCCATTATTAGAAAACTCAGGCTCCCCCTCCAACTTCGACCTCTCTACCTGCTTCCTCCACAAAACCGCCAAATCATCTCCCGTACTCGCCTCATCAACAGACTTGTCCTCCCTCACTTTCAAAAATCTCGGAAACCGCAAACTCAGTCCCCGTTCCTCACTCACTAACCCTATCGCAGCCCGATACGTCGGACTCAGCGTGATATCCGCAAATGCCATCTCCCAGACCTCCTGCGGCTCGAACCACACGTCCGGCTCACCGGGATACTCGACGTAGCTTGGCCTTGAGATGAGGTTCGTGGAGCCTTCGGCGTATTTATCTTTGTTGGATAAATAGAATTTGTCTGTAAACCCGGACATGCATTTCGTGACTGCTTCTAAGCTGCCAGAGTCCGGGTTCCGGACGGCGAGGAGGATTGGAGACCACCATCTTGCTTTGCGGCCTTGGCCGTGCCAGCCCGCGACGGGGACTAGATCGAGGGTTTCGGAGGAGGTGGTGTAGTCTTTTTTTACTTTGAGCCAGGAATCTAGGCGCTTGTCAGGTTCGTAGGTGGAGAGGAGGGGTTTGCGGCGGTTGGATTTTTCTTTAGTAAGTTTGGTTTTTTCATTTTCGTCGGGCTTGAGGTAGGATTCTGTAGTTGTGAGGTCGCTGCTGGGAATATCTTCGATTTGGGGATTAATTAGTGGTGGATCGGAGGTATTGTCAAGGACTTTCACCATGATGCCTTCGCATTTGACATCTGTGGCGCTTTTGAAAAACTCGAGGACTGTTTCAGAGTCGGCGGATGTTGCGTCGAGGCTTTTGACCCAGGTGAATTGGTTCGGGATCTCCACAAATAAGCCCCGGAGGAGTTCTCGTCGTTCGCGGAATGGTCGGTCGAGTAGTGGTTCACCATTTAAGTACATCAGATCAAATGCGAAGAGACAGACGTTGATTTTGATATCTTCGATCTCAACGTTCTTCTTTGCTCTGTTGGTAAGGACTTGGAATGGTAATAGTTCCCCGGTCTCACGGTTCACAGCAACGACCTCTCCTTCGAGAATGAAGCTAGAAACACTTTCTCCCCGTATTTGCGGGACTATTGATACCAGGTCTGGGTACTTGTCCGTCATTTGTTCGAGATGGCGAGAGAAGATGGATATTTTCCCGCTTTCATCACAATGAACTTGGGCTCGTTGCCCGTCGTATTTATATTCACAGCTGAAATTCCTTCCTTGCAGTTTGGTAAGCATCTCTGACAGGTCTCTTGTGATGCTCCCTAACATTGGCCTCAGTGGGATGTGCATCTGCAAACCACATTGCAGTAAAAGCTCTCCAGATGCTCCAATATTGAGTAGACAAGGGACGAGGTCGTTGTAATTCGGGTGTCTGGCGTGGGAAGCCTTGACAATTTCCTCTGCATGTGCATAAATCTCGGATAGTTCGTCTTTCTTGAGACGCGCCAGGTCCTGTTGAGGGTGGACGCTAAACTCTGAACCCTTGGGCTTGGAATGTATAACTGCCCGCGCCAGCGCAATGAGCATGGTTGTCTTTACAGCGCCAATTCGGAGGTTTTGAGCGAGCGTTCGGACAATATAGCGACTTTCTTCCGCACCGCGTGCATCTTGTAGTAACTTTTCGACGATTCTCTGTTTCATTTCCTGACTCCCTTGACCTTTGCTCATAGCGGTCTTGAGAAGTGACTCGTATACCCCTTTGATCTTCAGAGGCTTGGGTCTTGCTAACGTGAAGCTTTGCTTTTTCTTCGCTTCAAACGCCACATCGCCAGCATCTCCGTGTCTGTCGTAGAGTGCCTTGAGTCCTTGGCTATTCAATCCATAGACTTTCTTCAGTGCTTTAGATATTGACGAGCCCCCAAGACCAAGTTCGACCTCTATATATGGAGGCGATATTGAGTTCGTCGCGAGCCATACCGCCGGGAGAACGCTGCTGGGGTCACTCTCTATCAGGATCCGTAGGAGATTGACTAGCGTATCAACGATACGAATCCGGCTAGTTGTTGCATTCACTAGAATAAAGGCTCTGGTGAGTAGAGCGTATGTCGCATCTCCTCCTTCCGTAGCCCAATGCGATTGCAGCTCTTCTGCGTAGCTCGCAGCGTCGAATGTCAATGGACTCTGGTCCAAGGGAATTGAGAGAGTGACTGTGTCTTCCGTGCCTGCAGATGGCTGTAAGGAGAGGGTGTTTTTCTTTTGCGCCTTATATTTTGGATCTTCTGTTAATGTGACTGGGGTAATTGAGGTTGTCTCCGTAGTACTAATAGTAGTAGGTTCGGGATCTCGAGTTGTTGAAGCTAGGGAGCCTTCCTCTTCATCCCATTCTTTTTGGAGTTTGCGTGCAAGTGCTTCATCTGAAAGTGTTTGCTCTGTGTTATGAGCCGTATCGGTCAATTCGTTCGCTGAATTTGCTGCTTCCTCTGTTTTCTTGGTCGCTTGGCCCTGGAAGAATGACGCTATGCTCCGCGTTTGCTGCAGAGCGGATTCTGGGGTATTCCTCTTGCGCTTTTTGGCTGGACTGGACATCTTATTAATGACCAATGACAGGCAAAAAAAAAAAAAAAAAAAAAAAAACGAAATTGTATTAAGAGTAGATTGTATATATTAAGTGGATGTCGCAAAGGACTATTTCGTCACCGGCCCGAATAAAAGGCGGCGGTGATCGTTTGGCGACGACACCTTGCGCCCTGCTTTGGAATTTCTCCCTCCAAGTTTCAACCATATAGACATCAACAATGGCGGCCATACCAGCTTTGTCGTCGCATGAACGGACAAGAGTCGAAGACTATCTTAATGACAAGATCCAGGTCTCTGGGGACTTTGAGGGTCTGGACTCATTGCTTAACAGTCTACGGGCCCAGCATGAGCTCCAACGGAAACAGGTACTTCCCTACCTACTCATCTTGTCATTGTTCCCTTATTTATTCTTGGCTAATGCATAAATTATAGTTAGCAGAAGCCCAAGAAGCTCTTTCGATTGCCACCACAGCCTCCAATGACCACGTCGAAGCTACCAGAAAACGAGCCGAAGCGTTCAACGAGGAACAAGCCGACATCGACAGGCGCTTGAGAGCTATGACGAAATCGGACGCCAGCGATGAAGCTGCGCATAGATTTGAATCATCAATGGACAAGCTGCGACGGCTAGAGATATCACGCGGCTATGTCGCTCTACTCAAGGAGTCAAATGAGTTGAGGTACTTCAGTCTCTTGTTTCCTCGCGGAGCTTATCGGTGATCGCTGACTGAAGTCGAATGTAGTAAGGAAGCCTTGAAAAATGTATCCTCGATGCCGCAACTCGCCCTAGAGCCGTACGCCCGATTAAAGAATATCGTCTCGTCGCTGAAAGCCGCGCAACCCGCTGCCGAAGGAGCCGCTCCTCATTTGGTGGACTATGTCGAGAAGCTTGCAATGGGGTTGAGAGAACATATGAAACAGGACTTCACCAGCCGGCTACAGAAGAGCCTCGAACAAATGAAGTGGCCATTGAAAGACCTACAACTTTCCGAGGATCTGTTGGCACAGTGGAGAAGTAATGTGGAATTGTTGTTGGGTTTGCAGATACCGTATGAACTCATTTTGTTCCAGAACCGCATTTGGGGTATCCACTAACTTGCGTCTACCAGAGATCTCCAAAGACGCAATGTTTATACTGAACAATCCGGTCTTGAGCCTCCGATTCTACTTCCATTGGAAGTGATGGTACACCCGCTCGAGCTTCGATTCAAGTACCACTTCAGCGGTGACAAGCCAACCAACAGACTTGACAAGGTATGTAATATCAAACAGTGTAGTTAAGGAGATGCAGTCTAACAGTGCCATCAAAGCCTGAATATTTCCTAGCTCATGTTTCGGACTTGATGAATACCTATGGCGGCTTCTTCGCTTCTTACCTTCAACCCATCTTCAGCGAGAAAGCTCAGACCGTCGGATCTGACTTGGAATGGAATTTCTGTGACGCACCTCATGCCTTTATTACGTCCTTGTTGCCCATTATAAGACAGAAAACCAAGACTCTTCTTCCGCAGATCTCGAATCATCCTCAATTGCTCAGTCACCTTGTCCACGAACTGATGAACTTCGACACTGGAGTCCGCGAATCGTGGAACTATCTGCCAAATCCTTATTCCAACGATAACTGGAAGGGAATGACCTGGGATGTTTTGACAAGGCAAGGCTGGTTTGACCGTTGGCTCGAGGTTGAAAAAGACTTTGCGCTGGCACGCTATAAGGACATCATAGATACACCGGACAGTGGACATATTGACTACGAAGGGGTAGAGATGTCAGCTACCAAACCGACCAAGGCTGCTATTCGCGTGAACGACTTGCTCGAAACGATAACCGATCGATACCAGCCCTTGACCTCATTTGGTCAGAAGTTGCGCTTTCTCATCGATATTCAGATCACTATTTTCGACCAGTTCCATGAACGCTTGGGCTCTGCGCTAGAGGCCTATCTCGCTATGACATCAACGATTGGTCGCACGGTGCAGGGATCAGACGGACAAGCCAGTGTGGAGGGTGTCGCAGGACTAGAACGACTCTGCAGGGTATTCGGGAGTGCAGAGTATCTGGAAAAGAAGATGGAAGATTGGAGCAACGATCTATTCTTTGTTGAGCTCTGGACAGAGCTCCAAGAACGCGTCAAGCAGAACAAAAACAATAAACACCTAACCGGCGATATGTCCGTTGCGGACGTCGCATCTCGCACATCACAGGCCGTTGCAAATGGGCAATCTAGCAATGACCAACACTCCAACCCCGACGGTGCACTCTTCGACGAGACAGCTCTCGCCTATCGTCGCCTCAGACTACAGTCCGAATCCATTATAACCTCCACCATAACTTCGAACACGCTCTCTGCCCTGAAACCATATTCCCGGGTCTCGACATGGGCAAGCCTTTCGACTGGCTCCCCTTCCTCCCTACCCCCATCCGCTGATCTAGCACCGACAATGCGCACACTGTCCACAAACATCTCCTTCCTCTCACGCGCATTGGGAGTCGCTCCCCTTCGACGTATCACTCGCCAGGTCCTTATTCCAATCCAGAACTTTATCTGGGGTAACATCCTCATGAGAAACACCTTCTCAGCCGCGGGAGCGTCGCAGCTAATCAGTGACGTTGACCATCTTTGCAGCGTTGTGGACTCTTCTCTCGGATCGATGGGCCACGCAGGCGATTCGATCCGGACAATGAAGAAACTCAACGAGGGTCTCCTGCTTCTTGGCTTGAATGCGCAGAGACATGATGAGGGGGGAACGGCAGAATCTGGAGAAGGAGAGGCAGATACGCGAGTTGGCCTCTGGGGTGTGGAGAAGAGGCTATTTAAGGATAATGAAAGTGCAAGGGAGATGCTTGCTGAGTTGGAGATTGAAAACTTGACTGAGTCTGAAGCACGGACAGTGCTCGAGAAGAGGGTTGAGATCGCCAGCTAGCTTGCACTGAGGGGAATATGTTCATTTTTATTTGTTCAATAAATATTTGAGATATCCAAAAAGCTCTAAGGCTTCGTTATATACATGCACTTGGTCTATAAATCAATAAGTAACACACCGAATCGATATCTGTATGGTTAGTAAGGGAACCATTCCCGTATATCCCAAGATCTAAAATGTATGAACAAAAAGTATGTACCCAGAATGACCGAAATAACAGAGGGGCAGAATTTAATGATGAACCACAGGCCCATGGCCTTTCTCGCCAGGTCTCCTGCGAACCCCAGCCGGGGAGGCAGAATCGGCAGAATCTGCTTTCAGCTTCTCAACAACCACAGGGCCCGTCTCCTCAATAACCCGCGCAAGCGCCTCAACAGTCTCCCTTGCCGTGGTGATGTTAACCACACAACGGAAGAACTTCCCATCACCCACAGCATCCGCATCACCACTAGGTGGCGCATAGTCAACCATGAAGCCCTTATCCACGATAGCCTTTGTCACCAGTTCAGTGACCTTGCTATTCTGCTGACCGCGCTTCTCCTCATTGGACACGACGCCTGCAGCATAGCGCGGGTAGACGAACTCCTTTCCAGGAGCGTAGTAGAAGCAGACCTGGAGACATGGGGGCGGGTTCTTACCGATGAGGATGAAGTTGGGGTTCTGTTCAATTATGCTGGCGAGGTGAGCTGCGACGTCGCAGGCGGAGTCAATTTGTGACTCATAGCCTTCCGTACCGTAGTATGTCCAGCCCAGGAAGAGTTTGAGAGAGTCTGCGCGGCGGCCGCATTGGAGGGTTAAGTCTGCTAGGTCCCAGACCTCTGGGGAATCAATTGCGACTTCTGACTTGACGGGGCCGCCGTCGTTGGTCTCGTCCTCGTTGTGGAACAGGTAACCGGCCGGGAGAGTGTTGGCTTTGTGAAATTGTCGGAGATCGGAGGCTAGAAGGTATGAGCAGGTAACAGGGACTCCAAGCATCTTGTGCGGGTTGATTGCGATGCTGTCTGCCTTTTCAGCACCTGCGAGCTTCTGTGCCTGGCGCTTGGAGAAAGCAAACGAGCCTCCCCAGGAGCCGTCGACATGGAGCCATAACCGGTACTTTTTGCAAATGGCAGCAATCTCGTCAAAAGGGTCAAATGACCCCATGACCGTTGTCCCCGCTGTGGCATTGACATAGAACGGCGTGCGGCCCTCGCCAAGGGCCTTCAGTACCAATCTTTCCAACTCAGCCGGAATCATCCGGCCTTGTTTGTCAATGGACACAGCCCAGGCAGCATTACTGCCGAGTCCCAGCATCTGTGCCGCCTTCTCAATACTATAATGCCCATGCGCACTGGTAAACATCACGAATTTATACCCCCCATTGCCCTCCGCCTTGGTATCGGGGAACAGACTGTTGCGCGCAATGACAATCGACGTCGTATTCGAAGCAGAACCACCCTGAACCGAAATACCACCAGCACGGGGACCATCAAGCCCAAATAGCGAGGCCAATTGCTGCCCAGTATGTTTCTCAATGACCGTCAACGCCGGCGAAACCTGATAAACATGGACGTTTGTATTGAGAGTCGCCAGGATCAGTTCCGCAGCAACCCCGGGAGCGTTCGTTGATGCATAGAGCTTGTCGAGGAAACCCTGGTGCCAGGTATTGACTGAGTATCGCAGGACCTTGCGGAGCACTTCAATCAGACCCTCTTGTCTGGTGCCCTTCTTTGGCAGTTCGAGTTGTAGGATATCCCGGAGTTCCTCAGGCTTCTTGTAGTCCACTAGCGATGTACTCGGATTTGTGATATTTCCATTTTTGATCTTGCTGAAGCTCTTTGATCCGTTCGTTGCGCTTTCATGGCCGGAGGGGGTCTCGTCTGCGGACTGGATGAATGGAATCAAGAGGTCTTCGACTGCGTTGAGGAGCTGCGCGCATAACCATTGTCAGCTGGTGCACTATCGGTAAGAATCTATGATATTGAAGATATGGAAGAGTTTCAATTTGATGACTGCCTGCATCCATTTCTACATGCGCAATGGCAAGCAAAAAAAAAAAAAAAAAA